GCCCGACGCGGTAGAAATAAAAAAACTTTAGGCATTTAACCAATTTTTGACAAAAATGTCGTGAAAATATATACCTATAAGGTAAAAAAAATATTATAACACACTACGTTATAATAAACTATAGTAATGAGCTATAGTGTAATAACATAAAAAGTGTAATAAAATAGTACGCACGCAGCGTCTGTGTGTGAGCGTGTCTACTGGCGTTACATCGCCGCCGCGTGCCGTACGCGTCGACAACGAGTAGGTAAGATACTAGTACTTAGTACTCGTTACGTGTCAACTAGAAGTATGTTATTATCAGATTACATAAGTAGTAATAAGTACATATACTTACTTATTTCTGTTATTATAAGTTTTCATGCGTTATTTGACATTGTTAATAATTGTTATCTCAATTCAACTCAGCACACCATAAAATATAACGCGAGCCGCATGTGATTGTGTCCAGAGAACAAGCCAAACTAATGCAATGCGATGAAATAGGATAGATGAACTAGCGCGGTCAATATATTCTCTCTCATACCTTTATTATTCAGGTTAGGATACCGGTACCGAAATATACCGGTTTTCATTTCATACCCAAAAATAACGGTACCGAAATTAAATTTCGATACCGAAATTAAGCGGTAACCGTTATTTAACGGTATGACGTCATACCGCAATTTAAAGGTATCGTAATTTTTCGGTTATTCAGTCCCTGGTTACAGGTATGATAATAAATGGATGATTTCAGAAATAAAATGAAAACTAAGAAGACTGAAAATAAAGGAAACCGAAGAGAAGAAAGAAAGAAATATGACCTGGAGAACTTAAAAAAGGCCCTACATGCAGCGAAAAGTGGAATGAGCAAGAAACAAGCAGCTAGGTTGCTAGCTCGTTAATTGGATTATACAAAGTTCAAAAAAAGGATTCCCTCGCCGGAAAGAAGATATTCAATATAGTGTCTCTGATTTTTTAAAGAAGAATAATAGGCCTAATGCTTTTAAAAATGATGTTCCAGGTGAAAAATGGTTAAAATTATTTTTAAAAAGACACCCTGAGGTTGCTGTTCGTACTCCCGAATCTGTCACAGCTGCAAGCTCTGTGGTATCGGAAAATGATATAAGAGTTTGGTTCCATGGTATACAAACATATTTAGAAGATGATGCAATGTTTGACATTTTATCAGATCCCAGTAGAGTTTTTAACGGCGACGAAACTTTCTTGCTGTGTCCTAAGACAGGTGTGGTTCTAGCGTTAAAAGGCGATAGAAACGTTTATGAAATAGACAGAGGTCAAGCTAAATCTTCCATAACAGTAATGTTTACGTTTTGTGCCAACGGAGATTTAACCCCTCCAATGATAATTCTGCCTTATAAGCGCCTTCCTGGAGATATAGCTACCAAAGTACCAGAAGAATGGGGTATCGGGTTAAGCAATAATGGCTGGATGAAGGCGGAATTATTTTATGATTACATAAATAATGTACTGCATCCATATCTTCTGAAAAAGGGGCAAATGTTTCCAATTATATTATTTGTAGACGGCCACAAAACTCATCTCACGCTGCAAGTCAGTGAACTTTGCACTAAATTGAAAATTATACTAATCGCACTATACCCTAATTGCACTCGAATTTTGCAACCTGCTGATGTAGCAGCATTTTTTCCCTTGAAGTGTGCCTGGAAGCAAAGTGTCCTTCGATGGAGGCGTGATCACCCAACACAGGCTCTGACCAAAGCAGATTTTGTGCCTATTTTGAAAACAGCCATTGATGTAGGTATCTTTGAAACCCGCCACTATTAAAAATGGTTTCAAAGCTTGCGGACTCTTACCATGGAATCCTGACGCTTTGGATTACACAAAATGCTTAGGAAATTCCAAGGGGAAAGAAACAAGTCAGCCTCACTGTTTAAATATTGATGCAAGCGATAGAAATCGAATGGCGAAAGAAGATTTTATTAATATTGTCGGAATGGAAAATATAAATAAAATAATCAAAAAAGATATAGATTTGATACTGGATGCTCCTAAACTTCTCCAAAATCTTTGGGAGTTTTTTGGAAGTGCTTTACCAGCATCAATAGAAACAGATATTGAACCTCGTGCCATTTCTAATAATGAATCTTTGGAAAGTCCATTGGTACAAGAACACTTGGATATTGAAAACATGGATGTTGTTTTCGCAGATAATGTTGAAGAAAATAATGAAATTTCTAACATTCCATATTCCCATGAAATTGAAATACAAAATACGAGCGAGCCTAACTTACCTGTCGTCTCGGTGATTTCACAACAACATTTAACATTGCCGGCAGATAAGATCGCATCTACTTCACTGCCCAAAACTCCAATAAAACTAAATTTGACACCAGTACAGCTCAATGATATTCTCATCCTCCCTAAGACACCACAACGCAAAGGAACCAAAAATTCAGAAAAGATACCCTTCGTCTTAACATCTGAAGAATGGCAACGAATTAATACAGAAAAGAAAAAGGCTAAAGAGCTAAAAGAAGAAGGCATTAAGAAAAGGAAATTAGAGCGAGAACAAAAAAAGTTACAAAAGGATCAAACACAAAGAAAAGGAAAGGGTAAAGGGAAGAAAACAGGAGGCAACATACAGAATGTAAAAAAAATAATAATGAGCAAGGAATTTTACTCACCCTCACCCGACGTTAACGATAAAGAAAATGCCTCTCAAAGTATACAAAATAGAGCTGAATTTGATTTGTTTGACTCACCTATTGAAAAGCAAGAAGATTATAGTTTTCCTTCTACTTCAGAGAGATAGTAAAAAAGTCTTTTATAGCAAGTAAAATTTTCAAAATGCTAACAGATTCAGATGATGAAGATAATTAAACATTTGGTATGATTTGTTAAGACTGATTCGTTGATTTAATATTAATACTAAGGCTAAAGTAATATCATCTGTTATGTTTCTTCTAAGTTTATTTTTTATAAATTCCATCCTAATGTAAACTTGATGTTTTATTTACAAAATAGAACCTAAAACCCTAAAATAAAACATAAAATCATATTAATCCATTAAACAATGTAATCAGCATAAAGCGTGCCAATAAATGGTATTAATCCTGTCAATAAATAGAATGAAAGGTGCCAGTAATTTGCATTTCTATAAAAATTACTTAATAATAATAATAATAACCTTTATTGTACACCTTAAATAAATCAATAGAATATACATGTAACATTATAATAAAGAATAATAGGGTACAAAGGCGGCCTTATCACTAATAGCGATCTCTACCAGGCAACCTTTGTGTGAATGGAGCATTTCTGAATGAAAGTGGAGGTTGTTCTTGGTGTACTCAGGTCCTTGTAAATTATATGTACAAGTAAAATATATATTCTCTAAATAAAAATTACTTAATTTATATTTTTTAATTTATTTCTTAAACCATCGATTATTGTTAACATAGGAATAAAAAATAGATAATATGGCAAATACCAAACTTGAATAATAATCGACTTGGGTAGTTTAAATATTACATAAAATTAAATCTATCCTGATATAGGTCTTAAAGTGCCAATAATTGGGTCACTTACCCTATATAGATATAATAGAATGTCGTTTGGGCTCTACCTCGCCTGGTGGTAAGCGATGTTGCACTGTAGGTGGCTGACGATGAAGCACTTTTTTATATTTGGGCCATGCCCGCCACAGTTCCCAAAACCGCTGCAACTCCTGTAAGCCAGGATCTACAGTAGATACAACCATGAAAACACCGGAACACTGAAGTCCGGCGCGTCCCAGGGACATGAACAACTGTCTTGGTACCCGCAACGAAGTGAATCAGAAGATATTATAAGAGAAGAAAAAAACGACGATGAAGCATGCCTACTTATGTATGGGTTTATGAATAATAAATATGTAAATAAATAAATAAATAAATGACCAACCTGTCCACTCGGGACTTGCAAGACACCAAATTTGTACATTTCAACAAACACACTGACTATTTATTATTATTTTTCGTATCTTTTATCTATGTTTCAGATTATTAATAATATAACCAGAGATTATGCAAATGGTTGAAAAGGTGTAATCATTTTCTATAGAACACAATGCTGGAAAGTGCAAAACTATAAGTCTGACCAATGACACTTTTTTAAAGAGTAACGATTGAGATCCATTCTCATTCTTCTCCAAAGAACACAACGCTGGAAAAAGCAAATAGCTTCACTAAGAGGACTGACCAACGACACTACAGAATCAGAATCAAAATTTTTATTTGTAAACATAGATAATGTGAAGTATTACAGGTTTCTTCATGTTTTGCCCAGAGACATACGAATATTATACATAATATATAATTAATTTTTTTAATTGTCTTTCATTCTCATTCTTCTCCATAGAACACAACGCTGGAAAAAGTAAATACCTTCACTAATAGGACTGGTCAACGACACTTTTTTAAAAGAGTAATGATAAGTCTCTTGCTTGATCTATAATCAAAACTACACCTTGGAACGACCGAGACACAGACTGACAGATTCTATTTTTTTTAACAATTCAAAAGTACCTGCTGAAATAAATACTTTTTTATATATAAATTATAAATATAAATAATAATTACTTCGACTTTCAAAGACTCCTTTTGAACGAAACGATCGATTTTGACTTGAATAAGCAATCTGAACTGTTAACGCAGATCCAATAACTGAATGTTCTGGAGTGGAGACCAGGTCTAGGCAAACAGGGTGCCCTCCAGCTAGGTAGGGGGACAATATCCAATGTGGCTGGCAGAATTTGGATGCGAAGATAGCTTGCACTGCTAGTATCATAGTGATGATGGCGACATAATGACTTCAAAAGCACCAGAATAATCTTCTAAGTGACTTTCATCTTGGTTCAAGTTGCAATGCAATGATCTTCCACATAAACTCCACAGTACTGTAACAAAAAAGAAAGGTAATGTCAATATCTTATATTATTATATAAAGCGGAAGAGTTTGTTAAAGTTGATGTAGCTATTTGTATATATTTAAGACATGTATTTTGTATGTACAAACCAGTGATCAACAATATTTAGTATTTTGACAATATACGTTTTGACATATTGACATTGTATTTAGCATTTAAACATTTTATGAAATATTTTAACATTTTGATGGAAATAACTTTGTTACTTCTATTTAATGTCATGTACCAACCAAATTCTTATAAAGTGTGATTCAATTTACTTGGCATTATTTATTGTAATTACTAGTTTTTTTTATTTTACATACATACACATAACATCACGCCTTTTATCCCCGAAGGGGTAGGCAGAGGTGCACATTATGCCACTGTACAATGTAACACCCACTTTTCACTATTTATGTTATGAGTCCCATGTAATAGGGGGTGAGCCTATTGCCATATACCGGGCACAATTCCAGACTCCGTGCTACTACTGAGTTTTTTTTTAAAAATACAGTAATAATTTGCCCGACCCGGGAATCGAACCCGAGACCCCATGCCCGACAGTCGCGCTTGCGACCACTCGGCCAACGAGGCAGTCTTTTATTTTATAAAGCATGGTTAACTTAATATTTCTACACCAGCAATGGTAGTGTATGTGAAACAATATTTAAAGTAAAACCTCAATGTACCATATACTTGGAAATAAATGACAAAGAAATTTGAATTCAAAAATTCAAATTCAAAAATTTTCATCTCACACTAACACGGATGAAGCTGCAATAAGAAGCTAGTACTTAATAACAGCCCCTATTACATGGGACTTATTATTATTATTATTTATTTAATTCAGACAGGCAGTTGAAACAACTGATAAATGGTTAATTCGATGTTGTGTATCTGTCAAGTCTGTTTTTGAACTGGTTAACATTCTGTGCAGCGATTACATATTCTGGCAGCCTGTTCGCACGCGCACGCGATTACTCAAAAAGTGTCTGTGAGGAATATTTTTCGACTTGTAACATAAATAGTGAAAAGTGAGTGTTAAGTACATTGTATAGTGGCATAATGTGCACATCTGCCTAACCCTTTGGGGATAAGGCGTGATGTTATGACAGTAAAACAATATAGTACTTACAGGAATGTTCTAGGTAGCTCAACCAATTTCAAGCTGCAACAGGGGCTCATAATGACCATGACTAGGGTAATCGGTGCAACGGTGTTGTCACAGATAACAATCTGAAAACAATAAGAAGAAAATATGATTAACTGCAATGTTCCTGGTTTTCTTTTTGATTCCCCATCAATTAACCAATCACTTTTATCAAGAGGGAGACTCTTACTGACTAAAAACCACCCCTTTCCTACTGTTGATCTTCAAGCCAGAGCCCCGGTAAGACTTCACAGATCCCAGATCAGGTGAGGGAAATTATTAAATGACTTCTACCAAAAGCAAGAGGTTACACTCTTACTGACTAAAAACCACCCCTTTCCTACTGTTGGTCTTCAAACGGGAGCAATAGGTAACATGTTAAGTCTTGAGAGATCTCAGATCAGGTATCAGCCTTAATAGCTCAACTCATACAGGTTAGTTAGATAAACAACTCAAGGTGGCTATTGGAATATTATGTTTACTACCAGGTAATTAAATTTTCCATCGTCCACCTTCAAATTCCATCAGGGTGCTTACTTGTATCCAATTCCGATCAATCGACATTGGTATTGTCAAATTTCGTACTGTTGAGTCGCAACACTAGCGCCCATGCATCCGTATTGCGTGGATATTGAATGAATTAAATAGTTTGGCTTTATATTCCATACTCTATGTGCTACTTGAACAGCTATGACAGATTGTATATTTTGAAATTGAATAATTATTGAGCATTGATTACATTTAGATTTTAGATTAGAAATTGCATTCACATTGTGATTAGTTTTAAGAATAAGCACCCTGGTATCAGGCCTAATGGGCCCAACTTATACTTGGTACTTAGAAAAACAACTCAAGGTAGCTTTGGAACAATATGTTTACTAATGGGCAGTCAACAGTTCCATCGTGCACCTTCCAATTCCATTAACCCGTTGAAAATTATACCCTAAATTTCATACAAAAGTAGGTCTATAATGTAGTTAGTGCAGAGCGGTCACTGGTGACCGCTTGGGGATATACGGGTTAAACCAGCTCGAAGGTATCATAATATTATATTGTTATCTAATCAACATCCCACTACCAAGTTTCATGATGATACAACAATAAAATGTGTATCTAAATCGGATTCTTAGATTTGACTATAGTTGGTCACAAGTAAACTTGAGACATTGAAAAAAACCTCTTACGCTTATCCGTTCATGCGATTTTGAGCTTTATTCTGTAGGTGGAAGTGCAAATGGTAGCAGTAAATACCTGGTTGGTTTTGTATTTTAACTTTTATGCTGGGAATGCCATCCTTATGCCTACAGAATAAATTTCAAATTCGTTTGAACGGACCGTTTATAGGTGTTGTCAAATGTTTTGAATGGGGTAGTGTTATTTGAGACTTAAGTAATAGAACGCATCGTTATGAGAATATCGCATTTGTGGTCATACAAATAAAGTTGCAAATTCAGCAAATTGATACTACACAACATTGTTGATAAGTCAGTAAGTTGAGTAGGTACTTAACCTACTGTACTACACAGTAGCCAGTCAGCATTTTAGCAACTCAACCTACATACTCCATGTCTTTCATTTCATTATGGACTAAATCGCATTCACATAAAATCGAAAATCCAATGGAATAAATTCACATATTGTAGTACGTAGACCAATATAAGTAAATACATAATCTTAGAAAAATTAAACAGAATGAAATTGTCAATTATACAGATACTATCCACTCCCGTGCAGTTTCACCCACTGCTTGGCTCTATTTGATTATAGTATGATGTTTAAACTGTCAAACACCAAGCGGTCACCGGTGACCGCAACCTATTGTTCTTTAATTGTGTCTATAATGACGGTGCTCGACGAGTTAAAGGAGGATGATGTTTAGAGGAGGAGCCCTATTAAACTGTACAGTTACAGTTAAATCAGTGCATGTACACGCAAAACCTAATGTGTATGTGTGGTATGAAACTCGGTTATGCTTGTCGGTTTTGCATGCAAAGTTATAAGTTATAACTAGGGTTGCCACCTTTTTTTTGGTATTAAAAGTACATTGACGATTATAGGTAAGAAAAAAAAGTACATAGTACAAAAATAAAGTACAATTTATTCTTATTTAGTATTATATTTAAAAATATATTTTATTGCTTTTTGCAGTTTGTGTTAAATTAGTATCTTTACTGAACAATTGCATTGAAATACTAAACAATTGCATCTTTACTAGAAATTGTCTAGGTGGCGCTGGCGAGTGGCGAAATCGATTCGACATAAATCGATAAATATCGATATCGAATCGATAAGTTTAACGAAAAATACTTACGACTTTAATAGAAATTAAGTTTGCAAAAATAAAGTATTTTCGTGTACTTTATTAATCTTATAAAGTATAGAGTACAAGTACCTTAAATAACGTACAATACTTTATTATAAAGTACGGGTGGCAACCCTAGTTATAACTTTGCATGTGTTATAACTTATAACCATCATGCAGAACCTAGCGTGTATGGCCTCCTTTATAGCCTAGAGCCATCCTCGATGAACAGACTAGCAAACACAAAAATAATTATTCAATTCGAATCAGTATTCAGTACTTCCAGAGATGAATGCGTTTGAACAAGCAAGAATTTATGAAAAAGCTCAGAACAATATGGCGACGGGGCGACCCCAATATTAACAATAATTAATTTTAACTCTTCAAATAAAACCGATCTCAGTGCAAAATATAATAATATCGTTTAAAAAAATATGCGGTAGGTATATATATCGTTTAAAAAAAAACTCCGTAGCAAAGAAATCCGTTTCCGTATCGGTCTACGGCAGATTAAAATCTCAGCTTTGAAAAAAGAACAATCTAGCAAAATTAAATTAAAGAACAATACCTACTTTACAGCGCAATGATTGTTATTGACAATATATTTAAATATTATAATTCTAATTAGAAACGAAGTTTGTAACTACCTACTTACCTCCTCTATGGTGTCAAGATAGAAACTATATTTTTTATTAAATGTACTATCGAATTCAATAATCACAGCTAGAATACAGTTAAACCACGAATTAAAGTAACGAAATATCGTACATAGGTACTAGACTGAACAAAAATTAAAAAAACAACAATTCAACAATTTTTCTACCTACCTACGAAATTTGAAAAAGTTCGTTCAAGATTTTATAACTCCGAAAGAAATTAATCAATGGTGGAAAATACGTTAAATACAGTTAATACAATATTTATTAACTTTACCTATATAATAAGAAGAAAATTTGTGTAAAAACTTACAGTTTGCCGGTAACTGAATTAAATATTGGACAAGACGCAAGACGACTCAAGACGTCCACACTGTCGTACGTTCCAAGTGAAAAAGATGGAAATAAATAGTTAAATACTGTCACAAACTCAGTGTCACTGTCAATTTGTCGATGACAACAAACATTAAATGATTGAATGAATGAACTATAGAAGTATCGAAACGAATGTATGTTGCCATTTTCTAAATAAATTACGTATACAGTTTAATTATTTGTACTATACAATTGAAACGTATTGTAAAGTCGCAAGTAGTTCGTTTGCCGAGTATTTAAAAATGAAACTGCTGATAAATTAATGTTAGAATTTTTTTTACATCAGAAGTGTTTTAAGGTCCGTTCACACAGACCCGACCCAGGTAGGTATCTATTTTACAAACCTATTAACTAGGTACGTACTTTGGAGCGGCGAAGTACCTACAAATGGCTACACATCAAGCTATGCTTATAATTGATGTCGCCGAGAACCTAACGGGTAACCGACTGACGTGCAGGGAGAAGGAACGGGGTGGTTTTTAGTCAGTAAAGGCGGGAGCAGTCATTCGATGATATTCCCCCCTTAAAAAAATGCTTATAATTAATCGTAGCATTGTAGCAATTTTTTTTTTACAATTATTTTAAAATTTTGACTGTATACCTAGTTATCTACTTGACGACATTCATATCACATTGTAATTTAATTTGCATGCCGATAGGTAAAATGTAATCATGTAATGACAGGGTATGAAAATTAAAAATCTAAGTAGTTAGGTTCTCTCTAAAAATCTAATTAGGTTCTAATAACTTAGGTAATGAAGAAATATAAGACACATATTTTTTATTTTGTTGTATAATACAAACAAAAAGTCAAAACTAAAAACAAAAAATAACTATGATTAGTACTGATAGATTACCCACCCACTGATATGGAACTTATGGCACCGACTTCTAACCTATCAGTGGGTGGGTAATCTATCAGTACTAATCATAGTTATTTTTTGCTTTTTAGTTTTGACTTTTTGTTTGTTATTAGTTTTTGGTTTTTTTGAAGTCGGTTTTTT